TTGATGAGGAGGCGTTTGAGTTGGGGATAATAAGAGAGAAGGAAGGAAGGGATTTGGGTGGGGCCAAGGTTACGCCGATACGTAGTGTGCAGGCCGGTGTTTTCAGGTTTGAGAACTGGATAGAAGAGGGCAGGGCAAAGTTTGAGAGCCCAGAAGACAGTATACCATCGAGCTTCTCGAGTTTTTGACAGTAGATGGTTGAACAACTCGAATTTGATTACTACAATGCTCTACTGAGTATGGAATGTTCCCTGCCTCTGGTAAAGAGTCAATGCAAGCTGTTATATTTCGTGAAAGCGAGGTGTGCTACGAAGACGGAATTCAAGATATTCTCTAGATCAAAGATAAGTCGGCTTACTACATAGACCTTCAGAATTTCTATCGCGAGTAAGTTGCGTTTTATGGTCCCGCCTCAACGTAGATAGAGGCAGATACCTGGATCACCATGCCACCTCCATGCTATGCTATAGAATGAATCCCATCAAACGAAAACACGCTATCTGTGAGGAGCCTGGGGCGCCATACCACGACGCCGTCGCCTATCAGCTACCATCGCAGCTGCCGCTACCCGCCGAGCCTCAAGCAAAGCATCAAGATTTTGTTGCCCCACACCCAACCGCGCGCGCTCTGCTGCGATTCCATGTTGCCTAGCTGCCACGTTATGACGCATGGCTCTCGCGTCGTCATCGAGGGTTTGTCGCGCTGCAGCCAACCGCGCGCGCTCTGCCGCAAGCTCCTGCTGTCTAGCTCTTAAATTCTGACGCACGGCTATCTGCTGCTGATCCTGGCCAAGTCCAACATTGTCCAGGAAGCGGAAAGCCTCGCGAGCATCGCGCTGCCCCTGTTCGCCGTTGGCAATTCGATGAGGGCCGCCGAATTCCGGTCGGGCATTGCGTTGGCGAACCCGTTCATTAATCCGATCAACAACTCTATTGGCTTCGGGGAGGCGGGCTGGTTGGCCTGGTCCGTTGACTTGTCCCCTCCCGATGCCGAGTTGCGGGAGGGGGTTGGGTGGGAGCATGGCCCAGAGGGCATTGAACAACCGAGGTCTAGCAATATTGGTTAGGCGGATGAAAAAAGTGACACCTTGGACATGGCGCGATTATTGGGATCGGTCGATTGTATGGATGATATGGCTGCTGTGGAATGGCTCCGTAGAAACCCATAGGCTGAACGGGCTGAGCAGGATAGAGATGTTGATAGAATGGGAATGGTTGGACGGGGTATCCAAACGCAGGCATGGTAGGCATGGCAGGCATAGCTGGCATAGCTGGAAAGGCTGGAAAGACTGGCATAGCTGGCATGGCTGGCATGGCAGGAATGACTGGGTGAGGGTGGACGTACCGATCTGCTGGGGCGACATTTGCTGCTATTCCATTGAGGTGAGCCGGCGGCGCAGGTACTGGGGGCACCATGGGGGCTCGTCTGAGCTGCTCTCCAACCATGTGGTAAGGGAAGGCTTGCGCTTCTATGCCTGCTCGGCCTTTTCGTGCATCTTCTGCTTGCTTGACTCGATCTGAGACCTTGACCATCAAATCTGCATCTGACAGGCCTGGATTATCGACCCGGACTTTGGCCATGGCCTCATCGGCTGCGCGCTTGACCTCCTGTTCGTGGCGGTCTTCGACGTTTTCGTGTAGTGGACATTTGCCTACACGAGACTCGCCGAAGTGGTTGTAGTCTGTAACGTTCTTGGAGCAGACATAGCTAGGCTTTTTGTCAGCTGTTATCGGAATTTCTTAGGCTAGTAACTTACCATTGCACATTCCTACAGTGCGTGCATGTCATCTTGTTGCAGCCAAGTTCCTTGACGAAAGGATGTTTGCATTTGTTGCAGTGTCGTATCAAGGCTGCCGACATCGCTTCTTCGACAATGTGTCGCAGGGTAATTTGGCCATCCTTCTTAAATTCCTCGCAGCTGAGTGGGATGTGAGACTCCTTTTCGCAAAGGCGACAACTCGTCTTGCTGCATTTGGGGTTTTGACAGCGGAACTCTTTGTCAACCTCAACCGGTAGACATTCCATTTTGAAGTCGCAGAACGGGCACTCCGAGAGGAAGTCCAGACCCGCCGCTTCCAAGTCCTCTCTTTGTTGCATGTGCTCGAGTCGCTCGAATGTCTTGTCGCTCAGAACCTGTTGCAACTGTCGCCGGGTGAACGTTCCATTGCAGTCGTCCACTCCGAAACACTTGGGTCTGCATCGAGATTGACCCATCTGCGTCTCGATCTGTTGACGGGGACAGTCTACGCAGTAGAAGTGGGTAGTGTCTCCGTTGCAACTTATCATGCGGTTGAGAGGAACGTCGTTGAAGCAACACGCGCATTCACCCATTTCATTGTTCATTTGCGCTCGTTTTAAGTTGTCTTCTTCCGCCTTTTCCTCGTCTTTGACCTTTTGGCGTTTGGCTGTAACCTGTCAGTAGGGAGCAGATGAAGGAGACCACACGATCTTCGCTGTTCTGAGACACAGGGTTCGAGGTCCTCTATCGATCTCGTGGAAGATCATGGTCATGACATCCCACTTACCAGCTTCAGCCTCGCTCTTCTTCTTCGCTGCGTGCAACTCCTTGGGTATCTGACTGCCTTGCTCAATCAACTGGAGTTCAATACCGCGCTTGATGCGTGACTTGTTTATCTTCGAATATGTCCTGGCGATTTGTCCGTAGTTGCGCACTTGTTGTTCAATGACACCGTAAGCCTTGTAAAGAGTCTTCTGCTGTTTGAGAACGGTCGTGATATGCCGCACGGGTACAGTGAGGAATTCGTCTTTGAGTAGCTCTGTTCTGTGGAAAGTATCGTTAGTACCACGAATGAAAGGGTGGGAAGGTATAAAGACGACGCGAAGGCGTTGAAGGTGCGTAAGAAAAATGTAGCGGATGACTACAGAATTGTTGTTGCTGTTGCTGTTACTGCGCTGGCCCATAGGCGAAGTGCAATGTCAACGACAGTCGTTCCATGGTTCCAGGTGTAATGAAACCCTCGCTTCACGATCCACCTGGAATGATGGCTGCCAATCAACCCCGACTCTTGACGCTTTAAGACATCACTGAACCATAAAGTTTATAGGGCTGTGTCCATGAAGGAGTTGTACTTACGCGTCATGTTCATAACCGCCGATCTCGGGATCACGCTCGCCCTTCTCGTAGGTGCTCAACTCACCCTCGGCTTCGTTATCCCTCTTTCTCTTCTTATTCTTCGCGTCGTCTGACTCTTTTGGATATGGCTCGCCTTCCAATAACTCCGTGAGGAAATGCTCGCATTGTGCGCTTGTTCGTGTGGTGTCTGTCATCTTTTCTTGGATCAATTTGAGGACGTAATCGACCGAGATGTCCGGCAGCACGCTCACAACCATCTGCAAACAGGCAGCTTCGGTGACCAATGCGATGTCCTCACCCCAATCGGGAGCTCGTCCCTCTGGTGGTGGTCTGTCGTCTTCTGCCACGGCAGCGTCAGACGGCGGAACGTCAATGTCTGGAATGTCGGTCAAATCGATCACTTGACGGTCATTTGCCGGGAATTCTGCGCGGAACTCTGCGATAGGATCATCCAGATTCGGGAAGTCGAGAGCGAATTCTGCTGCAGATCGTGCGTCGAAGGCCTCCAATTCGTGTCTTGCGAGATCCTCGTCCTCCGTCTCACTATCGGAGAGCAGATCAATCACTTCATGATCGCGATAGATGCCAGTTGGAGCCATCGCAAGTGTCCTGTTGTTGTAGTCGTAAGGCTAGTTGACGGGTAAACCTCCACCTTGAAGGGTTGCTATCGGGTGTGCGTCTAGACCAAGTGATGTAGAGTTTCTTGGGTACCTTGAATGGGGAGAACCAAATAATAAACATTAATTTGTACCTAGCGGAGAACCTGGGGAAGGAGTGAGGGGCGATGGAACTGCAAACGCGTGTGGTGTTTACGTGATTCAGACCAGCTCAATTCACACGGACGTAGCCTTGTCGCTCACCCCACCAGTTTTCGGAGGAGGCCTCTCACCGACTGATAGGCACTAGCTGAAGGGAAGAAAAAGGAACAAGCGAAAGTATGAGAGTGACAGGTTTCACACTGCAGCGCAGCGGAGTGAGACCTGAGTGTTGCGGGTGCAGGCCGCTGGGAGATCGAGGAGCTATTGCGGCAAGCCCTGAGCCAGCGGAACGGGCAAGGGCACCAGCCAGGTAAGAGAGCAAAGGCAGTAGCTATGTGCCACAACAGCGCATGTCAATGAAAAGCCATTACAGTGCCGCCAGCGCTCAGCGAAACAAAAATGGCGTGTCGTCGTGAAAGGATGCTGCGCCGCTCTCAGGGCGGGAGATGGGCGTCTCGCCCAGATGATCGTGCAGTTCGCTCCAGGCCGGCCCCAGGGCTTCGCTAGCCCAACTGCCGCTAACCGCATCATCACGAGCCTACGCGCGCGTCGCACAGGACTGAGAAGAAGCAATGTCTGCGATCGGTCTTGGTGATGCTGCCAATGGATGCGCAAAGCTTTTGAGACCATGACATGCAAACTCCCGCCTTACTGCCTGGCCTCATGCAAGGCCCAAGCTACTCGCGAATCGGACAGGCGCACATGACCCGTGGGAAGCTGTGACATCCAACCTTCGCTTTGCCACGGCACACCTCGGGCCGCGAGCAGCATGATGTAGGCTCGGAATGCCTGGAGGACACATGGAGTCAGCTATAAGATCACTCGGAGCTCAAGGCGGAATGGGGCCACCAAAACGCGGGGCGCCCTTGACTAGACAAAGAACTACAGGTACCAACTTCCTCTTCTTCCTTAGCTATCCGCATCCTACAGCGAAAGCGACATAACTCGGACCCGCTATTTACTCTTTCCTGAGTCGTTACTACCACTTGATCTGGAAGACTGCAGCTGAGCAGGACCGAATCCACACCTGTCACGCCCTACGACAAGCGTAGTCGATAGCTGGATATAAGACCCTAGCTATCTTCGCCAAAGGCCAACCTATTAGATCAAGACTCAACATACATCTACCTTACATAAAATACTACAACATGGCCATCGCATCGATCCTCGAAAACCTCAAGGCTGGTGACTCTCCTGACCTAGAACTCGTTCACCCTACCGAAGCCGAAAAGCAGATACAGTTCAACGCAAACGCAAACGAATGGCGCGGTGCTCTTTCCAAACCTGCATACTTTCGACGCGAGGCCACACTTTCGCAAACAACCCTAACACGTGATGGCGGCATTTCATACTGGATCCTGGCTGACCCTGACAAAACTGTGTCAGAAGACCCTTGGAACCCAAATGCAGGCACCAAACTACCAAAAGGTACCCGACTACCACTAGCGAGCTGCGAAACAATCCGGAAGAAGGCGCTCGTATGGCAGAACGGAGAACTCAAGGAGGTCATTTGTCATGGAGTCGGCAGTGTATTCTGCCCAAAACCTCTCCGCGGAAAGAAGGGGGGCACCTCGTATGCGAGCAGGATGCTAACGGAGCTTGGGAAGAGTTTAAGAACATATCAGACAGAAGACGGCCAGGAGTCTCTGTTCTCAATCCTATACTCTGACATCGGGAGGGTTAGTAGCTCTGACACTCTATGACGATGTATTGCTAACAAAGACAGGAATACTACGCGAAATTCGGCTGGGAATCATTTACCTCGTCACATGTTTCCATCCCTGCGAGCACTTCTGAAGACACAAGCAACTTACCCACGGCCCGACCACTGTACGCGGACGATCTGGAGGAACTATGCAAGATCGACGAAGCCTCTCTCCGCCAGAGCCTAGAGTCGCGACCCAAGGACAGCAACACCGCAGTCGCAATACTACCTAACATCGAGACGATCCAGTGGCACCACGCGCGTGAAGAATTCGTGGGAAACGAGCTGCACGGCAAGAAGCCGGAGGTCAAAGGCGCGGTCGTCGGTACGGAGAAGGGCAAGCGCGTTTGGTGCTACTGGACCAGGATGTGGTACAACGAGAATCCAGCTGAAGCCAAGGGCAACACACTGCATATCCTGAGGCTAGTCATCGAGGACCATAGCTTTGAGGGCTCTTCGGGTAGCATGAACGGCGGATCTGAGAGCCATAGTCACGAAGCTGCTATTGCGGCGCTCATGGCGATGGCCCAGCAGGAGGCGCAGGAATGGAAGACGGAGAACGTGGAGATGTGGGCGCCTTCGCCGGCGGCACTGGCAGCTGCGAAGAAGCTGGACCCGACTGCGAAGCTCATCGTCAGGGATCAAGAGAGTATCGCAGCCTTGCAGTGGTTTCCAGAACACGACGGACCAGTTGCTGACAAGATTGACTGGGTCGCGAATGAGAAGTACGGGTGGTGTTGAGCGCGGAAGGCGCGATCCGGATTCGATAGATTTCCATGCATTGCTGCCACCGTCGAATAGCTCCGAAGGTCGTCAATGTGATGATGAGGGCGCAATTCGATCCCAACGTTGCAAACTGGAGCGGGAGGTTGTGAGATATCTTCCTCGACCAACTGGCAAGCCAGAAAGGACCAATGAAAATAAATAAAGCCTGTCAGATTGCCATCAACGTCCTGCTTTCCAGAGTGGCCGAAGCACACTGCCAGTCAGCTGAGATCATCGCCACATCCGCCGAAGCAGTTGTAAAGCCTCACTCTTGGACATCGAGGCTGATAGTCATCAACCAGGTTGGAGATTCTGTGGCTACTTAGAGTAACTCAGAGAAGGATGCATACTATTAGAAATGATTCTATGAAGTCTGCGCCGTTGTTAGTGGATTTTCAAAATGTAGGGGTAGGGCCAAAATACATGATCGAACTGCAGGTTGAATCTACTCGGCGCGGTGGCTTAAGTAGACACGATGGCTTGGCACGCGCTAGCGCCGCACAGACTGAAAGCGACATTTTCGAAGTTTTGTGGGGCGGCAGCCGAGAATTTGCCGCCGACGTTCTGCCGGCCCTGCTAGCTGGACTGCCGGAGTGCTGCCGACTGGCCGTGCGCAATCAAAGGACAATGGTTTCCTGAGCACAACATCATACACATCTCACTTTGTCAAGAAGTTCATGACCAGAAATCGAGTTAATACCTTCGGCAAAGCTTGTGAATCAGAAAGGACGAGATTCGTTACCGGCTGCTGTACAGAGCAATGCACGATATTTTCAAGGTTCAGAGATGCCCAGGTGTGCTGCGCTTCCATACCACTACACTCTCGCTGCTCTTCATTCAGTAGTAGCCAATTGCCGGACGTCGCCTCTCATCAATCAGCCTCACTGACCACATGTGGAACAGCAGTTCTCGTTATACCTCTGTGGAGTGGCGTCACCCGCTCTAAGATTACGAAGAAGCTGCTTCTAGCTGTCCACATTGCCTGCTATGAACTCTACCCCGGACGTAGACATTATGCGTTACTGTAATAGAGTATGATCACGAAACGCACTGTGTACCTCCAGGGCGTGTCATCGCCTGCATGTTTGCGAACACACGCTTCTATGTATACAGCAACCGCAGTATAGCCCGCATGTATCTGCGCCATTACTCCTACATTCAGCTCAAAGACTATGAAAAATCTGGCCGATATCCAGCGTGATGGATCGTCTAGCCCATCGGATCTGAACCTGAGCCCCACTCCAAGATGGACGGGACCTCTTCATGGACCGCGCACCAGGTTGACTTTTCCCTCATTTAACCAGTGCACCCTGAAGACTTCGCAGTACTTTACCTTTACCTGCATGACCTATAAAACGTATTGAGTTGCTCCTGGCTCCATCATGAGCGCAAAGATTGTAAAACATGAATCCAAGGTATACGTCCAGCTGGACACAGTTTTTCGAGATCTAGACAGCGGTTCGGCCATTTGAGGAGGTACATTTCTAAACTCTATGCAAGTCAGTGTAGCCGTGTGTCACTATCTAGATACGGCAGGGATGCAAATAATAAGTCGCGATAAGAGAACCTTGCTCTAGGACATGCGGAGCAGCCTGCAATGAAGTAGAGGCTCGAGGTATCCGATATATTTTTACTGACAGTTCCTCAATCTAAACGTACGCTGAGTTGAGCCAGGCTCTGCTCTAGTTAATCCTTCAAGACATGACAAGTCTATGTATGCGGCAAACATGTAGGCTGCTTTACACCTATTGAACGCCTCCTTCGCTCCCAGCGTGGTGTATAGGGCTTGCAACCGCCTTTACTACTGACACAGCTGGTACCGCGGGGCGCCACTTAGATTTCACCCAGTCGGCTTCAATGCCGCTGAGAGTCGGCTTCAATGCCACTGTGAGTCGGGACAAAGCCAACCGCTCAAGGAAACACAGGTTTACAGCCAGTTCCAACGAAGTGACGGACCTAAAACCGCCTTCGGGAAGTAAAGACGGATTGTCTTTGATGTGATTGTCTTTTGACATGATCGTCTTTGACATGAACATCTGGAGCGCATGTGCCAACAAGCAACTGCTCCTCCTTTGTCGGCTTAAATGCCGCTCAGGTGCTTTTCATCGGGTCTTCCAGCTTACTGGTGGCCTGGGGAAGAGATCCTTGTTGTAGTCTCCCGGGTCGCATATGAGCCGTCGTCCTTATGGCACAGTCTTCTTGTAGTCCCCTTGCTTCAGCGGGCCGGGCAAGATCTCATGAGTTGATATGGCCTGCGCCAAAGTCGAGGTCTCCAGCGTCGTGTGTGAGCCATCGTCCTTGTGCCAGACTCCTCTGTAGTCTCTCGCTATAGTCTCTCGGGTTGGATATGAGCCGCCATGCTTGCGCCAAAGTCCTCCTATAGCCTCCTCGCTTCGCTAGAGATCAAAAGACTTCGCGCATGATTTCAGTCCTGTTGTAGCTGCCTGGGTGTAGTATAAGCCGCTGTGCTTGCGCCTGCATCCTGCTGTAATCCCCTCGCTTGAATGGTCCGAGCAGGGTTTTGTAAGCTGTCGTAGCTTATTACGGACCTGCAGCTGCCTGGGTGGATTATGAGCCTGCGTGCTTGCGCCGAAGTGCGCCTGTAGTCCCCACGCCCGCAAACGTTGGGCAGCATCTCATAAGCTGTTGTAGCTGCCTGGGTGTAGTATAAGTCGTCATTCTTGCGTCTGGGTCTTGTTGTAGTCCTCTCGCTTGACTGGCTTGGGTAGGGTGTTGTAAGCTGCCGCAGCTTGTTCGGGTCCTGTTGTAGCTGCCTGGGTGCAGTATAAGCCGCCGTGCTTACTCCGGAGGTCTATTGTAATATCCTCGCCTGACCGAGCTAAGTAGGGGCTTGTACGTTGTCGCGACTTAGAGGTATAGTGCGTGGGTGCACTTGGTCGGATTCCCGGCGTGCGTCTTGTCGAGCAAACCTTCCTGTGCTGTTGTCGCTACCTAGGTAGCTCAAGAGGCCCGCTGCTATTCGCGCGATTCCCATCGTGTTCCGCTTGGGTTTCCGAGTCGGTCGAGCGATGTAATGTTCTAGTATGAACAGTGATCTGTTATTTCGCGTGTCGGCAGGTTGTAGGAGCGTAGTAGTGAAGAGATTGGCGTAGATGGAGGTGGAGATCGCGCTGTTTGATGGATTCGATGGTCATGGAGTCTGCACCAGAGTCATATTGTAACAACTTTGTGATGACTACATGGGTTTCGAGATGTGTCTGTCGTCACTTTACTCAGCCTTGAATTCTTCTATCGTCGAACGGCGTCACCTCGGATGGGTATTACGATAAGTACCTGGGTATGCGTGCACCTCAGGAAAACGAGCTTCACGTGAGCAAAGCATTAAAATTCGATCGGACTCCGTCCGAACAGCAATCAATCAACTTACAAATAGAACGCATCGTATACGTTGAGCCTTCGCCGATGGTGTCATTCGTTGGCGCCGACATCGCCATTGATACAGGCACAGCGCATGGCGGGGTTGGACTCGTGCGTGTGGCGGGGCAGCAGGACGAAAGCAATTGCATTCAATGAAACACAAATGCCTTCGCAGTGTGTTTCCGTTCGTAGACAATCGTCAACCAGGCTACGGCGACGCCAATGGTAATCATGCAGCGGCCTAGTCGACGCGTGCAGGCGATCCGGAATTTGACAGGGCGAGACGCGGTCCCTTGACTCAACTGCGATCCCGGAGTCATCACAACATTTTTCCCCACGGGGACCATTACTTCACATCGCTTTCGGGACATACACGACAGCCGTCACCAATTACACTTTTTTGCTTTGCATTTCGCTAGATCGTTGATTGGTATCACACATAATGTCCTCACACACAGCATCGCAGCGGTACCTGAGTACCCGAGGAGGATCCTATGACGTGAGAACGACCCGGCGAGGATGCGCTCAGACGGCTGCTAACAGGGCATAGTTCTCCTTCGAGGAAGTCGTGCTCAAGGGTCTCGCTTCAGACGGCGGCCTCTTCATCCCCGAGGAAATCCCCACGCTGCCCGACGACTGGGCGTCCAAGTGGAAGAACCTCTCCTTCGCAGACCTCGCCTTTGAGATCTTCTCCCTCTACATCTCCCCGTCCGAGATCCCGGCCGCAGACCTGAAGGACATCATCCACCGCAGCTACTCCACATTCCGCGCACAAGACGTCGTGCCCACCGTCACACTCGACAAGGAGAAGAACATACATCTGCTGGAATTGTTCCACGGCCCTACATTCGCCTTCAAGGATGTCGCGCTGCAATTCCTCGGCAACCTCTTCGAGTACTTCCTCGTGCGCAAGAACCAGGGCAAGACCGGACGCGATAGGGAGCATTTGACGGTCATTGGCGCGACAAGTGGTGACACTGGCTCAGCCGCCATCTACGGCCTGCGCGGAAAGAAGGATGTGTCGGTCTTCATCATGCACCCGCATGGCAAGGTCAGCCCGATCCAGGAGGCGCAGATGACGACCGTTATGGACGCCAACGTGCACAACTTGGCTGTAGACGGCACATTCGACGACTGCCAGGTACGTACCCTCTGCAGCAGCGGATGACACAATTAACACGCCCTAGGACTTCGTAAAAGCCCTCTTCGCAGACCCCGAGATCAACAAGACGCACCACCTTGCCGCCGTCAACTCGATCAACTGGGCCCGTATCCTCGCGCAGATTACCTACTTCTTCTACTCGTACTTCGACCTCATCAAGCAGGAGTCATTCCTCCCCGCCTCCACCGTCCGCTTCGTCGTGCCCACGGGCAACTTTGGCGACATCCTCGCCGGCTTTTTCGCGAAGCGCATGGGGCTGCCAGCCGAGAAGCTGGTCATCGCCACAAACGCGAACGACATTCTACACCGCTTCTGGGAAACCGGCAAGTACGAGAAGAACCCCGTACACGGAAAGCAGGCTGAGGGTGGTATCCCTGAGGATGGCGCCAAGGCGCATGAGAGTGGAGTCAAGGAGACGCTGAGCCCAGCCATGGAC